TAAATCTATTAATCAATAAATCAATAAATCAGTAAATTAATAAATAAATAAATCCATGCAATAAATCAATAAACCCATGCAATAAATCAATAAATTAATAAATCAATAAATCAATAAATCAATATATCAATAAATCAAAAAATTAATAGATCTATAAATCAAAATTTCAATTAATCAAAAAATCACAAATCAATAAATCCAATAATCAATAAATCAATAAATAAGTAAATCAATAAATCAATATATCAATCAATTAATAAATCAATAAATAAATAAATCATTAAATCAATAAATCAATAAATCAATAGATCAATCAATTAATAAATCAATAAATCAATAAATCAAAATTTCAATAAATAAAAAAACAATAAATAAATAAATCAATAAATCAATAAATCAATAAATCAATAAATCAATAAATCAATAAATCAATAAATCAATAAATCAATAAATCAATAAATCAATAAATCAATAAATCAATAAATCAATAAATCAATAAATCAATAAATCAATAAATCAATAAATCAATAAATCAATAAATCAATAAATCAATAAATCAATAAATCAATAAATCAATAAATCAATAAATCAATAAATCAATAAATAACTAAATCAATAAATCAATAAATCAATAAATCAATAAATCAATATATCAATAAATCAATATATCAATAAATCAATATATCAATAAATCAATAAATCAATAAATCAATAAATCAATAAATCAATAAATCAATAAATCAATAAATCAATAAATCAATAAATCAACAAATTAATAAATTAATAAATAAATAAATCAATAAATCTATTAATCAATAAATCAATAAATCAGTAAATTAATAAATAAATAAATCCATGCAATAAATCAATAAACCCATGCAATAAATCAATAAATTAATAAATCAATAAATAAATAAATCAATATATCAATAAATCAAAAAATTAATAGATCTATAAATCAAAATTTCAATTAATCAAAAAATCACAAATCAATAAATCCAATAATCAATAAATCAATAAATAAGTATATCAATAAATCAATATATCAATCAATTAATAAATCAATAAATCAATAAATCATTAAATCAATAAATCAATAAATCAATAGATCAATCAATTAATAAATCAATAAATCAATAAATCAAAATTTCAATAAATAAAAAAACAATAAATAAATAAATCAATAAATCAATAAATCAATAAATCAATAAATCAATAAATCAATAAATCAATAAATCAATAAATCAATAAATCAATAAATCAATAAATCAATAAATCAATAAATCAATAAATCAATAAATCAATAAATCAATAAATCAATAAATCAATAAATCAATAAATCAATAAATCAATAAATCAATAAATCAATAAATCAATAAATCAATAAATCAATAAATAACTACATCAATAAATCAATAAATCAATATATCAATATATCAATAAATCAATATATAAATAAATAAATCAATAAATCTATGAATCAATAAATCAATAAATCAATAAATCAATAATCAATAAATCAATTAATCAACAAATCAATAAATAAATAAATCAATAAATCTATGAATCAATAAATCAATAAATCAATTAATCAATAAATAAATAAATAAATAAACCCATGAATCAATAAATCAATAAATCAACAAATCAATAAATCAACAAATCAATAAACCTACAAATCAATAAACCCATGAATCAATAAATCAATAAATCAATAAATCAATAAATCAATGAATCGATAAATTAAAAAATCTTTAAATCAAAATTTCAATAAATCAAAAAATCAAAAAATTCAAATAAATCAACAAATCAATAAATAAATAAATCAAGAAATCAATAAATCAATAAATCAATAAATCAATAAATCAATAAATTAATAAATCAATAAATCAATAAATCAATAAATCAATAAATCAATAAATCAATAAATCAATAAATCAATAAATCAATAAATCAATAAATCAATAAATCAATAAATCAATAAATCAATAAATCAATAAATCAATAAATCAATTAATCAATTAATCAATAAATCAATAAATCAATAAATCAATAAATCAATAAATCAATAAATCAATAAATCAATAAATCAATAAATCAATAAATCAATAAATCAATAAATCAATAAATCAATAAATCAATAAATCAATAAATCAATAAATCAATAAATCAATAAATCAATAAATCAATAAATCAATAAATCAATAAATCAATAAATCAATAAATCAATAAATCAATAAATCAATAAATCAATAAATCAATAAATCAATAAATCAATAAATCAATACATCAATAAATCAATAAATCAATAAATCAATAAATCAATAAATCAATAAATCAATAAATCAATAAATCAATAAATCAATAAATCAATAAATCAATAAATCAATAAATCAATAAATCAATAAATCAATAAATCAATAAATCAATAAATCAATAAATCAATAAATCAATAAATCAATAAATCAATAAATCAATAAATCAATAAATCAATAAATCAATAAATCAATAAATCAATAAATCAATAAATCAATTAATCAATTAATCAATTAATCAATTAATCAATTAATCAATTTATCAATTTATCAATTAATCAATAAATCAATAAATCAATTAATCAATAAATCAATAAATCATTAAATCAATAAATCAATAAACCAACAAATCAATAAATCGATGAATCAATAAATCAATAAATCAATAAATCAATAAATCAATAAATCAATAAATCAATAAATCAATAAATCAATAAATCAATAAATCAATAAATCAATAAATCAATAAATCAATAAATCAATACATCAATAAATCAATAAATCAATAAATCAATAAATCAATAAATCAATAAATCAATAAATCAATAAATCAATTAATCAATAAATCAATAAATCAATAAATCAATAAATCAATATATCAATATATCAATAAATCAATAAATCAATAAATCAATAAATCAATAAATCAATAAATCAATAAATCAATAAATCAATAAATCAATAAATCAATAAATCAATAAATCAATTAATCAATTAATCAATTAATCAATTAATCAATTTATCAATTTATCAATTAATCAATAAATCAATAAATCAATTAATCAATAAATCAATAAATCATTAAATCAATAAATCAATAAACCAACAAATCAATAAATCGATGAATCAATATATCAATAAATAAATCCATATACCAATTAATCAATATATCCATAAATCAATAAATCAATGAATCAATAAATCAATAAATCAATAAATTATAAAATTAATAAATCAATAAACCAATGAATCAATAAATCAATAAGTAAATAAATCAATAAATCAATAAATCCATAAATTAATGAATCCATAAATCAATAAATCAATAAATCAATAGATCAATAAATCAATAAATCAAAACACTGGAGTCGAGTAAACTCCGGAATCCGCGTCAATTTTAAAGTCCGGGATGAAGTATGAAGATCATGCAGGTTTTTGAGCAGTAAAATATTCAAAAGTTTGCATTTGTACTTGATTTGTGTTCGATGTAGACGAATTTGGTGTTAAAAGTTGTGGTTTGCAAAACAAAAAAAAATTAAAAAAACACAAAATTGTTAAAAAAATACGCCTAAATGTAGGTAACTAACATCAGTTTTTCACATAAAATCATTTTTATACTAAATTATACATGTTAACGGTAATTACAGTTTCGGCTTCAGCAACCAAAAATTAGGTAACCAATGGTAAGGGACATGTACCCTGTACACATAAAATTACCACAGCATTTGTGGGTTAGTAATCCAAACTACAGATTTTATCCCTTCCCCGACTTGACTGTTTGACATTTTGCTGCAAAATTTATTAGAATACCGCGGCGTCTGACAGCTCAAACCGTCCCCAAATCGTAAGTTCGCCGAACGTCGTTGAATTTGCACAGGTGCTAAGCCGGCGCTGCATTTTAATTAGCGCAGTGCACTGTGGGCCATCATAGTATTTTTTTCATGACAAAATGAATAATTTTTTTTTCCCCTTGATTTCTCTTCTGTCGATCTTGTTTTCCGTACTTAGTACTAATGATATCGACGCCAGCGAGGTAGCTCCCACACCTGGATCCTATAATACCTCAATAACTTCATCACTTTACATTTTTGTGTCTTAGTGTTCTTTTTTCTGTTTTTGTATAAAAACGTCAGGTTTTGGTCTAGATTAAAAAAAGTCAATATACAGGCTTTGGGCTTTGTAACGGTTTCACTTTCAATAATTCACTTTCACTATTTAGTTTAACTATCACTTTTAACTATAACAGATACTATTTCGTTTGCTACTTGCAAACTTCTGCAGTGTCTAGTCATAGACCAACGTTATTCCGCGTCTAATTCTTAGTTTATGACTGGACACTGAAGAAGTTTGCAAGTAGTCAAACGAAATACCTATCTGTTATAGTTTAAAGTGATAGTGAAAGTGAATTTGTGAAAGTGAATTATTGAAAGTGAAAGTGATACAATAGTAGTAGAATTAAAAAGAAAAACAACGTAAAAGGTATCCAGTTATTCTACTAAACCGCTCATCAATCAATTTAGACTTGTAACGGTATTATAATTTTTTAAATGTGTTATTTTACATGGGTTTTGCCAATATATTAGAAGCTACACTTCAAAGTCCAGAAGTAGGTTCGTTCATTCAAACTCAACTAGTTGGCAGAACATACTTTCTGAAGACTGAATTCGATCTGAAAATGAATTTTCCACCCCGAGTATCGAAAACTTCATTCGCTGGAGTTATTAGTTTTGACCTGCTAGTTTGCCTTCGTGGCCCACAGTGCAGTGAATGAAGACACCTCCACCTAGCCTCTCAGTGAAACTAAATTTTTCGCATTGTTGGCTGTTGCTAAAGAGGAAGATCATCGAATTTGTCGACTGGTTCTTTTCCATAATCCTCTTCTTGACGTAAATTATGCATTAGAAAAAAAAAATACAACGAAACCAGTTTTTGGTTTTGGATCTTTTTTTTTATTATTATATCGTGTAATCAATTCATTATCTCTAATTTGACATTGTCGGTCATATTCTTTGCTGGTTTTGTCGACCTAAAGGTATATTAAGTAGAATGGCAGCGTTTTTGCGTTAGCGTTCAACAGAGGTATCGTTTTAATTTGCGTTTGCGTTTGGAGGAAGGCAGACTATTTTATTTAACCGAGCAGCAGCAGCTTCTTCTTCAGGAGCAGCAGGCCGAGGGTTGCTTGGTTGTCCTGAGGGTTCTCGGCTTCGGCCATGACAACGGCATCGGACGGCACGGCAATCACGGACTCATCGTTGACGGCCGGCAGGGCGAAGGCGAGGGCCAACACCATGGCGAACATGCAGAGCTGTGGAGGGAGGTAGAATGTAGAATAAATTATTTAGAAAGGAATGATTACCGTCATATGGGTGAATTTATCGGTGATGGCAATGTGTTGGCATTGATATCATATGAAGTTAAATCGTTAGGTTTGTTTCCGTACTTGCTTGATGGGACAAACTGACATTTTTCATTATCAAAGTCCGTAGTTTTATCACGTAATATGAAAGTAGATGCCAATTGATAGAGGATAGCTTTTTTTTTCCTTTATTATAGAGATTTTTAGCCATAGGCTAGTTCATCTCTTAATAGAGGATAGCGTTTTTTTAACTAGTTCGTTTATTTACTAGGCTCAGTCGTGTGTGACACTTTGCGGAGCCAAAATAGCGTTGTTATCTCAGAATTGACGAAAATCGGTATGCGATTATAGGCAGTGTATGTTATGGTTAAGTGTAACCAAGTATTGCCCACAAATTATAAGGTTTGCAATACAAGGTTGCTATACGGCTAATTAAATGTTCGAAAGCCCTAAGTATATTAGTCCTATATCAGCCATATATTGTATAAAAAAGACACGAACGGGCTTATAGGTTACCGTAAGTCGTGGTGAAACTGATCACGTATATCAGAAAAAAAAAACAAGAATATTTTGATTTTTTATTTGACTATTATTAAATAGTACTGTTGCTCAAATTTATCATTAAATTCATGATGAAGAGACTTTTGAAGCTTCTTAACACTCCGAACACGATACCTCCGGTAGAATGTGTAACGGCATGCTTGCAATATTTGAAAAATCATAGCTCAGCCATTGATTGACGAATTTCAAATCTCTTGGCACCATTTGAAACTTCATACTTTATAGATTTATGCTGTGTAATAGATTTATAATCTATTGCTAAATTGAGGAGCAATAATTTTACAAACATTACCAATTTGCCGCTACACCGGAGGCATCGTGGCATTGAAGTGTTGTAACAAAAATGTCTGATTTTCTTTTCATAAAGAAGTTATTTCCAATTATATTTAACAAAAATGAACATAGTCCAATTGATGTTGTATGCGTTTAAAAAATAACATATTACTAATTATTTCGTACCATATACTTTTATGCTGTGCCCTTTAAAATGCCAATTTGATTTTTTTAATTTGAAAACTTTCATTTATCATCGGATTATTGGACCAAATTTGTAAATAAACAAAAAAATCCATTGTTTTCAAAATGTCGGGTTCTACATCGAAATTGTTTGAGAGCTATGTGAGGGGAGGAAATCAAAGGACATTTTTTAAAGATTCTTTTTCTATTTCCGCGTGGAATAACTTTGGTATATCTCAGGGAAGTGTATTAGTGCTTCTTCTATTTATCATGTAAATCAATGATAAGCATAGCATTTTATGATTTTGCTATATCTTTTTGTCAATGATGCCGTACAATGGAAGGTAAAAATTTGAAAGATTTCACTTTGTCTTTTGTAAATGGCTGTATACTGGATGCTAAGGAATATGATTGGATTTTGCTGATCGCTGAATACTTATATTTAGCTAATATTTGAGCAATTCTCGCTGAAACTGGCTTACTAGTTTTGGTTCTAAAACATAGGATGATTTAAATTAATGTATCTTTTAAAATTCTTGTATAAAATCCTAATGTGTGCATACCTTTCGAAAGGGATGAAAATCTATGCACGTCGGATGGAAATCTATGCAAAGACCAACGTTAAATAAAGGAATTTAACTCTAAAAATCTCTCCGGAACGAATCAATCTATTAAAAATCTACAGCATAGATTCTCAACGTGGGATTCGCGAACATCACATGTGGGGGAACGTTGATAATCGATGTTCTGGATCATAAATATAAGCTTTCAATGAAAATACAATGACAAAACTGTTTCCCCATGTTTTAACTAGTAGTACAAGTCAGCCATCTTTATGGACATCTGTGGACTCTATTTCGTATCACTTTAATTTCAATAGACACGTCTAATCTCCTTCTACTTAACTTGCAATAAACTGACATAAGTAATGTAATTTTTAATAACTTGTTTACTAAGATGAATGGTTCTGCGAAATTTACCGGAAACTGATTGTGTGTTCTATTCATTAACACTAAAATGTAGGTGTTTAAGAATTTAAACTACAGTAATGATCCGATTGCGCATCATACTTATATCTTTCCATAATTTCACATAACCGTAATTCCAATTCTTTCTCATTCATCTTGATGTCTAAGGTCATACTTTGGGACAATAAACTAACTGAAAAAGCGCATGGGTTTCGTAGAACATTAGAAATTATATCCCAAATTAGGGTCGACAACATCGGGTCATTGCTGTATTACCAGGTAAATGACAACCATTTATAGAATTGGTGTGAATTTACCCGGTAAATAATTTGGTTTTACTTGAAACATTACATAATTCAGCATACAAGTTTATTAACAATTGCGCAATTATGTTATGTAAGAATTAGATAAGGAAAATTTTTCGCACCAGATAAATTAAAAAAATTAACCCTTTTTAGTGAATCCGAATTCTTTATATGAAATTCCAAGAATTCTATCCTGAAATTTTGAGAATCTCAACTGTAATTCTATGAACCTTATCTGAAAATCTGATTATCCTAACTTTGAATGGGTATCTGAAATTCTAAACTGTGATAAGGTATGTTCCCGTACTTGCTTTTTTGCTTTTGCTGTAAGAAAATAATATGGTGCAGAAAATTCGGCAACATAGTTTTGCTTTTTGCTGTACAGAATCTTGCAGAAAAGCAAGTACGGGAACAGACCCAAAGAGAACTTTCCCGGAGTTTACCTAATACTAACGGTTTAGGCACCAACAATTTATTCGACCTAAATACGGATTCTTGACCATTGTGCACTGCGGATGAGGGATTAAAAATAAAATTCCACCTGGGATTTAGAATGTCCCCATAGCCGTAGCTTTTTCACATTTTAACCTAAGCATTTTACTGAAAAGCAAAAACGATCCCTTTTGACACTTCACGTCAAAGCTTTCCAACTTTACACGACACTTCGTTTAAAATTAATACAACTTAAACTATCCAACTTCCATAAACTACATACCGCGAACAAGAATTTCATGTTGATGGTTTGAGGTTTGGGATTATTCCTGAACTGTGAACTTGAACTGTGTTACCGATAGGGCTTTCACGACTTTACTGATGCAACCTTGGCCGTGAGGAACGTCTTTTATACGGTTCGATCAGCCGGTCGGCCCGGACCGGTCTCGCGACACCGAACCAAACGTGCAAATTATTCCAGCCTCCAGCCTAGATCGCACATGGAAGAACGGAACTCGCTGTTTGGACAAGAGGAAAGGGGAACGCCTGCTTTCATTGTGCGAAGAAGCTAAAGAAATTCTTCGCTTGCTGCTACTTCGTTATCAAAGCAAGCGGCAATTTTCATCCCACCTGTGTGTGTCAACCACCTCTTTCCGCACCATTTTACTGTCGCGTCGTTAAGATGCTTCGCCACTGGTTGCTGTGGTTTATTTGTAATGTTTCTCCCTCTCTCTCTCTGATGATCTGGACCTAGAAGGGAGAAACAGATGACACAATCGAAATTTATTTAATAGTTTGTCCTTCTAGTCAAGAAAATGTTTGCTTTTGAATTTAAATCAAAATAGGCGTAGCAACTTCGGCTGTTTTTCTTGGAGCGTGTTGTGATTGTTTGACGTTGGTCAGTGTGCAGTGATAAAATGTACCATTCTGATTTGCATTTTATTATGCTATCAAACATTTTGACAAAAACCTTGATTAGAGCAGTTCCACGACAAATGAAGAATCGGAAAAACTCGACCTCTTCCAATTTGCATGAAACTTTGCATAATCGTTTGTGATGGGCAATGATTTACATTTTTACTCAAATTCGGCCATTTTGAATCTTGTAAAATTTTCAAAAAAATTGTGGAATAAAAACAGCTAAAAGTAATGTTTTTCTGAGAAAAATATGCAAAACAATGTTAGGGGCTGTTCATAAACTACTTAGACAGATTTTTGGGATTCTTGACCCTCCCCCCCCTCCCCCTGCGTAGACAATTTTCCATACAAAAATTTTGAAAGTTGTATGGGCCGTGGATAATTGTCAACCCCCCCCCCCCCCTAAACTGTCGACGTAGTTAATGAACAGCCCCTTACAGGTTGTTTCAAGTGAAATTAAAAAAAAAAAAAAATTTCAACCTAAGTATCTCAAAAGTCTCAAAAATACGATTTTTTATTTATTTAAAAAAAAACCTCATGAAAAATGTATATCTAAAAAAAAAATTGAAAGGCATGGACACTTTTTTTTTCTTGATTCGTTTTCCGTCGATCTTGTTTTCCGTACTGAGTACCAATGCTACCGACGCCCGGGAGGCAGCTCCCACACCTGGACCCTACCTATCGACCCATCAGTCATGAACCGGGAACGACTGTTCTTCCCTTCCGAAGAACGGCGTGATTAGAGATTTTATGCCTCAGAAAATACCAGCGGCGCTGACTGGAATTGAACCCAGGCTTTTTGGGGTGAGAGGCAATCACACTTACCAAGGGCGCCGCTAAAATTATGGACATTGAAATAAGAAGTTTTGGTCAAATTTTTTGAAACTTTTTATTGAAACTTTTTTTTTTTAATGTAATTTAACTCAAATGTTTGTGACATTTTAAATCATTTTCATGACAACAAAAAAACGTACCTGCAAAAAGTTCAAATTTTTTACCAAAAGTTCTTGTTCTACGATTTACATACGAGATACATACATTTCCTATGTGATCATCGCTTATCAACCAATGATTTTTTGTGATGTTCGAGAACTTCTAGCGAGTGGATCTGCTTATAAATTTTCAGAAATGAAGTTTAATGATTATTTGAACTAACCCTTTGATTTTTTTTTTTGAAAATGACCAATTTCCCATACAGTTTTGTATGGCGTTCTTATATGTATTTTCCAAGGAGAAAATCACATATTGTAGCATGATAATGTGGTTTCCAAACACACATGACATAGAATTCCTCGGATTCTTAGATTTGGGAGGAGCCATGGTTTCTAAAGTGTCCTTGTATTAATTTCCACTAGTGTATACTAAATGTGTTCAAATTTTGGGAGGCTAATCAGGACCAATTTTAAAACCGATTGAGCACTGTGGAGCAATCATTTCAAATTTTGTATATTTCTAATGTCCATGTATAACACTTCAAGTTCCACATATGTTATGTGCCAAAAAGGTCCGTTTAGACTATCTGATGTCTTGGTGTGATTTTGATCGCCGCCATAATGGAAAATCTGCTCGAATTTACTTTCGACACACTTTGTCACACTGCGTGCACATGTCGAAAGAACTGTCAATTTAGATTAAAAAAACAAAACTGTATCAGGAATCAAAAGTAAATACTTCCATCATGAATTACCGGAAAATTGCTCTAGCTTTGGTAGGCGTATTAGCTTTTATTGTTTTTTTTTTAAATAAAATGAGAGATAAGAGATGAACCAGCCCAAGGCTGAAAATCTCTCTAATAAAGCAAAAAAAAATAAATAAAAATAAAATGAGAAGGAGGAGGTAAACTTTGTGGAGTAGGATATGGTTGCTCAGGAGGAACACCAGCAGGGATCTGGCTCATCTTGTCCTTCAAGAACTGTGATATGAAGACGAAACAAGATTTCAAAACTTCAGCAGGATGTCGATACAAACTTTCGACAAACTAGTGGGAAAAGTTCTCTATAGATCTACATGATTCCTTGAGTTCTGAAAATTTATGTTAAGAACTCAATTCTGCATATTTCTCTGAAGTTTTTTTTTTATGTTTTCTGGTAATATATATTTAAAGACCAACAAACTTTCCTGTAGATACGCAAGTATCTCGGTAGTTCAGCAATTTTTTTTTTGAAGTTCTGTGTTCTTCAGAAGTTCTGCAAATTTCTCTAAAAATCTACAAAGTTCCTGAATCCCTGCAGATTTAAGATTCTTAAAGATCAACTATTATCTCTGATGTCCACTAAGTTTCTAATTATCTACGAACTTCTCGAAAGGTTTGTAATTTTCTCTTTAGATTTTCATGATTCAATAAATATCTGCAAATATCTCTGAACATCTACACAATTCCCTGAAGTATTAAAAGTTTATCTGGAAATTTTTGAGGTTCCCGGAAGTTTTAGGAAGTTCTCTGAAGATCTACTATTTGTTCTGAAATTGTGCAAGTATCTCTGAAGATCAGCGAACTTTCCTGAATTTCTGTAAACTTCTCTTAAAATCCAAGAATCGAAATAAAATTCAGAAAATTTATTTAAACATCTACAGATTTTTCAGTAGATTTACAATCTACACTCTGAACTCTTCTGAAGTTCCTCAAATTTCTGCATGTCTTTAAAGTTCTGTAAAGTTGTCTGAAGCTCCGTAGTTCTATTCTCAAAATCTACTAAAAAAAAAACCTTGAGGCTCAGTAGACCTGCAAACTTCTCTGAAGTTTTGTAACTTCCTCTGTAGGCTCTCGGGATACTCTTAAGATCTGAAAATTTTCCTGAAGATCTTCTAAATTACCTTAAGTTCTATCACCTTCTAAATTACTTAAAATTCTCCAAATGTATCTGAACATATTTGAGCTTCCTTGATGTTTTGAATGTCTCTCAAAATATACAAATTTCTCTGAAATAGTATAAATATTTTTAAAAAAATCGCTGAAATTTTCTGAAGTTCTGCAAATATCTCTGAGGATTCATTAAATTTTCTGAGATTCTAATCTTTTTTTTTAGAAAATCTACACACTTTCTTGAAGTTCTTAAAATTTATCTGAAGATCTATGACCATTCTGGTGATTTTTTTTTCAAAAGTTCAGAATTTTTTTTTCAAAGTTCTGTAGTTTTGTTCTGAAGATCTACGAACTTCACTGATGTTCAATAATGTTTCAGTAGATCTCCAAACTTCTGTAAAATTCTTTATATTTCACTGTAGATTCTTGGACTGAAGTTCTGCAAATTTCTCTGAAGATTTGTGAAATGTCGCCTATAGTTTAACCAATTGATCTGGAAATATTTTAGCTTGCTTGAAGCTTTGATTTTTTTTTTTAACATGTATCGGAAGATCTACGATACATTTTTCTGAATATGTGCAAATTTCTTGTTATTTCTGTAAAATTTTCTTATGATTTGTAGTTCTGTTTGCAATATCTACGAACTACCCTAGAGCTCTAAAAAATTCTCAGTTTCTGAACTTTCTGAATCTCTAAAAAATCTTAGTAGGCTCTCAGACCTGCTGTCTGGCATGCTTATTCTTATATCTAGATAGAGCTGGAATTAGGGCGAATCAACTTTTATAAACAATGACTTCTCTCGATAATTTTTCGAAAGTCGTGGCTCTCCCTGGAAAATCGACGTCACCATCGACTAGGGGAAGAGTTCCCCTACCCGATGGTGCAGTTTGTTTGTGTAGGCGTGTCTTTAATGCCTAGAAATCAACTAGGGAAGTCATTGTTTACAAAAGCTGTTACGCCCTAATTTCAGCTCTATCTAGATATAATACATGCTTCGTATTATATAAACACTGTTTTGTTGACCAGGCCATGATCAAAACCATTACATTATCTTTCGGCCAATCACACTGGAAAATAAAAATCAGTCAAATCATACACAGGACAATATTTAATAGTGAAATCGGTTTACCTTGCTGCTGGATGCCATCAGAACACAAATAATGCGTTTTTAGCAGTTCAAATCCGTGAAATTTTTGAAAATAAAAAACATTATTTTAACCTCACTTGCGGCTATTTTGATGAATAAGTCGAATGAAAATCAAACACAAACCTATTTCGTTCGACAAATCAAACGTCAAATCTAATCATCATGTCGAAAAAGTGTTAAGGGGGGAGTACACTTTGATTTTTCAAAAAAATGCATTTTTTTTTGGCTTAAAATGTTCCTTGGGATGTATACTTTAATTTAGAAAAGACTCCAAGTCCGCCAGAATATTCCTTACCGCTTTACGAAGCGATTTCCTAAAACATGTACCGGCGCGCTGAGAGAGCAATTTTATCTTTAAACGCGTTTATCTCGAAACGGGGTTTTTCAAACAGGCGTGGGAAATAACTCTAATCAGTTATCATCAAATTTGGATATCGCCTAGGTTTTCTTGTTCAGAATTAAATTCTGCTTAGAAATACGTATCCACATTTTCGATTTTGTCAAAATGAATTTTTATTACACGATTTTGTAAGCATTTTTAGGGTGAAAAAATGGACTTTTTTTTCC